ACTCTTTATAATTCAAAGAACTGGAAAGGATACGGGCAGTAGGAGTCAGTGTCGTCATTGGTAATGAGTCTTTCTGGTGTGATTTTTGATTACTTTCCAACTTTCATTTTTATGAAATTGATTAACGTTTCAATGCGAAATTTTTTATTTGTAAGCTTCAATAATACTAGTTAAAACTGAAAGTGACTCACTACTGTTTGATACTGACTGGTTAAAATATCGAGTACCGGTTTTTGAATAATTTATTGTAATCTTTGCGATACAGTTTGTGATTTGTGATCAGGGTAAGTTCCTTATTTTCGAGATGATTAATTATAATCTTAAGATTTTTGATAAATTAATTTTTTATATTTTCTATTTCGATATTTTCATTATTTCCTTTTTTTCTTTCATCTTTCTTTTTTCTTTTTTCGTTTTATTTCACTCTTCTTGACGTTTAAATTCTCGAGGTAGGGATGCTCACCATGATAGGATAATTTTTATTCACAGTTTATGTATGTTAATTTTTGTTATCTCTGAAGAGGGTTCAAAAGTAAGTCGAAACATGTAAGCGCGTTTTAGTGAATAAAGAAGTTTCACTTCATAGATATATTATTTGCGCGACGTCTTCTGCGCTTGACTCCTACTGCCCGTATCCTTTCTAATTCTTTGAATTATAAAGAGTTTTAATTAGTTTGATTTGTAAACAAGAAATACGTAGCAAGAAATATAATTGTCAACAAAACGGTTACAAAAGATAACGGAAAAAAAGCAAAAGGTAAACAGGAAAAGAGGACATTGTAAAATGAGTTTTACGTTAGGTAATCAAATTTTGTAATAAAAAGTTATTTTTACTTTCATGACGTCAAAATAAAGTTTTTAACTTTCTTGATTTAGTGTGTTCCTTGGGGTGCTATTTCATTTGTGTATTTTTGTCATACGACAACTGATGTGTACAGAACAGAAAGGTCTTCGGATCTCTCTATTCCATAATCAATTCACAAACTTAAAAAATTTGTCGTATGACTATGTATTTGAATGCCTGAGTTAAATTCAAGACTAAGGCAACCTATATCGAGGACAACTTACTTGTTTTTAGTTTCTCGTAAAGTTCCCCTGGTCGAATTTATTCTTTCACTTATCTTTTGCTTGATCGATTCATTTATTCCATTCGAAAGAGACACTGATGGAATGATTGAAAATTCTCAGCAATCGGCAAGTATCTTTTCGTGATAAATACTAGATTATGATTTAAATCATGATGTGCAATGCGCATGCGCAAATGAATAATGCCATTAATTGGCACTTGCGTGCATGCGTGATAGTGTGTATCGTGTGTATGTACAAAATGCAGAAAGACCAGCAAAATTGCTTATGCTGAAACACTTGCATAAGGCTCACAAAGAATACACAAAGAAACACCATGTTTGGTGCCACATGATTTGACGGTAAAAAATTTATTGGATCGAATTTCCATTTGCGAATCGCTGCTAAAATGAAATGAAATTGAGCCTTTTCTGAAAAGATTGATAACGGTCGATAAAATATGAATAATACATATAATAATAATATTCGAAAAAGATCGTGGTTAAAATGAAATGAAACATCACAAACAATCGCAAAGCCCTGCAGATTGATGCTGTATGTCTGGTGAGATCGGAAAGGAGTCATCATGAACTGCTGTCGCCAGGCAAAATGATTGATTCTGATCTCTATTGTCAACAACTAATGCGATTGGAGAAATCCATTTAGGAAAAGCAGCCAGAATTGATTAATGCATTGTCTTCCATCGCTTGTCAGCACTAGACCATACACATCATCTTTGATGACTCAACAAAAATTGAGAAAGCTTGGCTGGAAAGTTTTAATGCATCCACAGATATAGTCCTGACCTTGCACTGTCCGATTATCATTTATTTCGATCTTTGCAACCTGGAGTAAACTTGACTTCAAAAGAGACTTGCAAAAATCATTTATCTCAGTTTTTACTGAGAAATTATCACAGAAATACTACTCCGATGGAATAATGGCTCTACCTGAAAAATCGCAAAAGATCATCGATCAAAACGGCATATATTTGGTTTAATAAAAAATTTGTAAACAATTAAAAAAATATATTTCAATTATGCTCCAACTTATAAAAAGACTTTTTCCCTAATATCAATATTATCTTCTTTCAGAGAAAAAAAAGTAATGTTTTGGAGGAATATTGAAAGTCTAGTCAGCTTCAACAGAAAATTCATAAATCTGTTATATTTTGATAATGACAGACAACGTGGATGACTATATAAGTTGTATATTTGATTTGAGGAATCCATTGAATTAGATTATAGAATAACGAGAATTTTCACATGTCGATGAAAATGGAGGCCAGTATTTGGAAGAATTTCAACAAGGAAGGAGGAAGCAAATAATAATATTTGGATAATTTTTTATGTCGAGAAAGACAATTAGACATTGATCGCATTCAGCAGAATGTTAATTTTTTTAACTATAAGTTTTTTTCATTGAGATAGAAGTGTTCTTTATATTTAAAAGTATATCCAATCAGCGCGAAAAAGATTAATTCCAACAGTTACAAAATAAACATTCTGCTGAACACGACAAATAGTAATAGTTTTTAAACACGAGTTTCGAGGGACAGTTCTTTGTATTATGTCGATCAGTATCAACCAATAGGATATACACGAAACGGACCAATAAGCGTCTAGTATCATGTCTTCTACGTGCCGAGCCGGTTTATTGTCGTAGGCACGTATCGCATTTAAGCTGAGAACGTGAATGCGAACGTATATCACACATTGTGGTAAGACGAATAACTTTATTAACATTAAGTTGTCGTACTGAGCTTTTCTTTAGAAAGTATCTTGTTCCTGCGAGAATCTCAATTTGTTATAATTTTTATATACTGTGTATACTGTGACGTAATGTTTCTCGTAACTTGTAACATTTGATATTTTTTTTATTGTTATATATTAGCAGTTTGGCGAAATAACTGAATGACAGAATCGATTATTCTTGAAAAATAGCATTATTGTCTCCTGATTAATATCATATTAATCGATAATTATTTATATAATAAATATTAATAAGACTTAGTTCCTTATATTCTTAATTATTTGTTGTCAGTTTATATTTGCGAAAAATTCCGATGAGATATCGTTACCAATTTATCTTGTTTTAATATTCAACATTTTTTGTTGCTTAACTTTATCAAACAGACAAACGTTACTTTTCAAACAATCGAGATTTGTTTATTATTTCTTAATCGCATATTTCAAACATTGAAGATAAATAAGCCACATTATTTTAGAACATTATGGAATTATAAGAAATATTATTATAGCTTCATTTTACAACATTATATAAATTTGTATAGAAAATTTACAATATTTAAAGTAAAACAAGTATTTACAAGAAATTACTAACTAACTTTTAAAACTGTTATTCTTTTATTTATGATATATGCGTTAACTGAGAATTTTTTTATATGCCAAACGAATAAAAAAAGTTCTAAAAGTTTTTAAAGTTTGAGAGTTCTTTTTAATTATTATTGTTAATTATTATTAATACTAAACGAATATTAATCCGAACAAAATTACATTCTCCATTTGGTTTCGTCATTAAAATGTCTTTCTTATTCTGTGAACATCTATCTATCTAAGAACCTCATTCTGTTAATAATTTTTAACAACTGTAACATTATATCATTACATTCTTTTTATGTAGTACTTTTACCGTGTACT